TAGTGAGATGGAGGGGGAGAGATAAGGACAAGTGGGGATGCAGGTAACTTTGTGGGGGGGGGGCGTGCTGAGCACGCAGCTGGCACCCTTTTCCCCGGAACCTTGGAGGCAAGACTTCCAAGGAAGGGAAGGGCTGGGGAGGGGTAAGGGGGCTTGAGGGAAGGGTGCATCTGTTAAAGAGCCATGTGGGGAATGAAAACAGTGTTTCCCGGGGGGGCCGGGAGGATTGCTGTTGCCAGGGTGGTCCACATGGACCCTGCAGTCACCTGGGATGACAGCCGTGCTGGGGCTGGCAGGAGATGAAATGCCCTGGTTCTCAGTGAGCAGAAAGTTGGTAAATGACGGACCAACAAAAGGATAGAAGAAGTGTATATCTAAGCATCAGAGAAGCAGGAGGCTTTTGTAAAATTTGACAACAGAGGAATCATTTTGAAGCGGCATTGGTTATCAAGGAGGGGCCTCCCTGCCTCCTAGAAAAATGAGCTTTTCCTCCCAGAGAGGTCTGCAGGGACACGGTGAACTCGAAGGTGGAATCTGGGCCCAGTTTGCCTTTGCCTCGTTTTCCTGCCCATCTGGCATATTTGATAAGCTGTTTTAAAATGTCGGCTGGTTGCCAGGTCACGATCTCGCGGTCCGTGAGTTCGAGCCCCGCGTCGGGCTCTGGGCTGATGGCTCAGAGCCTGGAGCCTGTTTCCGATTCTGTGTCTCCCTCTCTCTCTGCCCCTCCCCCGTTCATGCTCTGTCTCTCTCTGTCCCAAAAAAAATAAATAAACGTTAAAAAAAAATAAAAATAAAATAAATAAATAAATAAATAAAATGTTGGCTGGTTGAGAGTGAGTGAGCGAGCGAACCAGCGAACGAATGAATGCCTTGCTCCCATTCGGAGAGATACTTCCACCTGTACCCGTGTTTCTTGCTGTGGACCTTGCCTCTTTCCTGTCCCTGAGAAGTGCCAGCTGAGCCTCAGCGTGGGGGCCGCCTCTCTTCTCTGGGGCCATATGGGGAGCTGGAAGAAAGGGGCAGAAGGGGTGTTTGCTGTCACTCTTGGAGAGAACCAAAGTCCCAGGGATCGTGAGACCTGCCTGCCCACCCAGCTCCACTCCTGTACCCCATTTTAACGCCAACATAGAACGACCGCACCACGGTCCACCAGCACTTGGGTGTTCAGTAACTCTAAGTAACATTTCAGTGCATAGCCAAAGGAGCAGAGGTAATGTAGCATAAGGGGAAACACGGGGTCAATTGGAGGGGTGTAGGCTTTTTGCAACCGTAGATCTAGTTTCTCAACTGGATTTATTTTGTGCCTGTCACTACCTTCTACCTTACTCCCTAGCCTGGCACTGATGCCTTGATCAGAGAACCCTGAGCTACAGGGAAGAAGGTGCCTCGCTGCTCCCAATGGGGCAAAATGAAGCAAGATGTCCATCCAGGCAGGGAAGACCACAGCCCTCCTATCCCCAGAGACCACCCAGACTCCCACCAAGAGAGCGGAAACAGACTGGCTTTATTTTTAGCTCCCCCGTGAGCCCCTGAGCCCTGCCCCAATTTCTGGGAACAGAGAGCTTGGGGCCCTCACCATCTGGCCATAATGGAGAGACTGGGCGAACCTTATCTTCTCCTGCTGCTCACAATGAAACACCAGGGGAACGCAGCCCTCTCCTCGTCCACATTGTCCAGCCCAGGAAATCTACGTATTGGAGACTCCAGTGGGACTGGAGTCTACTGGAACCATAGGATCAGTCCCATGCCTGGGGCTCTGCCTCTAGCAGGACCTTCAAGGGCCTTGCTATGGGAACCCCAAGCTCCAGCGACTATTCTGACTATGCAGTCTCCTCCCCAGACCCCAACTACCATTTTTCTGAGTTTAGCTTGAGCTTCCCGTAGGACTGGAAACAAATCAATGACTCAGAGAGCAAAGGACAGTGAAAGTAATCAAAGAGGATCCCAACTGAGCTCATCCCAGACAAGGTAATAAACAGCATCATTTATTCATTCATTCAGCAAAGGGTGGAACTCAGGCCTAGAAACATGCTAAAGATGCCAGAAATGAACTTAAAACATCATCTTTGCCCTCAAGATGCACCGCTGTTGTTCTCTGTCCCCCAACCAGGACTCCTGGGATCCAAGGAGCAGAGCGGAGGGGGTGGGGGGTGGGGCTGGGAAAGCTGGTGTTTCTACTTCCTGAGCTGAATCCTCAGGGTTATAGTTTCTCCCCACTTCTATTCTCTGGCAATGGCCCCTTGGTTCATCCTCTCCGCCACGCGTTCTCGGCCCGTATGCACAGCGGAACTGGGAGAGCACCTGTCATACAGACAGTCGTACAGATGGCTGACAGTGGGTGTCACTCACCTTGGCAGAGTTTCTTGGCATTAACTGGCTGCTCCATGGAGCCCCTGATGGTCTCTGTCCATCAGGGTGAGGACCCTCCTTGGAATCATTCTCTGCCCTGATCTCCAGTTACCCGCGCCTAGGCTGAAATATTTTTCCAAGTCCTTCCAGACCCAGCTGGGTCTTTGGCAGCCCAGATATCTCTCAATGGCATTTGCTCCCCAGTCAGAGCCTTGGTAGGTCTCCCCATGGATAGTGGTATCCCCTTTCTCACTCTTGGGCTCTGGTACCTGTAGGAGGTCCTTGCTGCTCCCAAGGCTGATCCTCAGAGGGACATTCAAATGGAGCAATTGAACTAAAGGACAGTGGTCTGGCCAGGGGAGCCACTTAGGGCGGGTGGAGGGTCTGGACCGCTGATGCCGACTTGGAGGTCCACACTGACTCCCCATCACCATGGCACTCCTGCCAGGAGTTCTGTTGAGCCCCACATCCCCTGTGAATGCCCAGCTTAGCAAGAGCAGTCCTGAATCCAGGACACCTGGGCCCCTTGCTGGCTGGCATTTGGGACCCAGATTGATGCCTGGATGGCCTCTTCAGGCGCTCCGCTTCCCAGATGCCCTTCTTCTCTCCAGAGTGTATTTCCATGCAGCAAAGCCCCGGTGTGCCCCGGCACAGAGAATCCACAGAGAATCAGGAATTGTTGAAAATGGCATTATCTGGGTGAAGAGTTATCCCCCCGGCCCCGGGGCACATTGGGCCTAGCCCTGTGCCACCCTCAGCATATGAGGACATACTTCTCCATTCTTTCTTCTCTCCTCAACAGCCCCGAATAGGCAGAGACTAAAATAAGACACTCAAGTGGAAAGGCCAGGGAGGCTGGAGGAAGACCCATGTGACAGCGCGGGAAAGGCAAGCGAGCCAACCTGGGTTCTGCCCTTTTTTGGGGGGCTTATTTGGCAAGTGGCACTTTAGCGACACACCATTGTCTCATTTACTCCTCCCATCGGCCCCACGAAATGAGTATCATTATCCTTGTTAGAGAAAGGAAGGAACCTCAGGGAACTTAACTTGCGCGCAGTCACGTGGAGAGTCGGTTAAGCACACTGATTCTAGAGAAAGCTGAGAAGCAGCAGTTCCAGAGGAGAGTTAGGTTCTCCGCCGTCTCCCCACTAGCACAGAGAGTAGACGACAGTATTGCTTGTCATCTCCTGGGCCCTCCTGCCTGCCTGATGACGCTCATGCCCAGAGGGTACAGCAAGGAAGGTTCTAGCTGCATAGGGAGAGGGGAATGCCACATGCCAGGGAGGTGCCTGCATGTCTGAGATCTGTGAGCCAGAGGGGGTAGACCAGGTGAGAGATCTGAGTGGGGATGTGCCACGACGAGCTGCCTGCCAGACGAGCCCAGGAGTGATGCCCCAGCAGCACAGGACAGAAGGAAATGGTGATAGGATCGCCCCCTAATTAAACACCTGCAGTATCGCTCTGCTAAAAGCAGGAGAGCTGACGTCTTTTTTTTTTATTTGACCCACTAATAATTTTATTCCTTAAAAGGTAGAATGGGTGGGATACCTGGGTGGCTCAGTCAGTTAGGCGTCCGACTTCGGCTCAGGTCATGATCTCACAGTTCGTGACTTCACAGTTTGTGAGTTTGAGCCCCACGTGGGGCTCTGTGCTGACAGCTCAGAGCCCGGAGCCTGCTTTGGATTCTGTGTCTCCCCTTCTCTCTGCCCCTCCCCCATTCGTGCTGTCTCTCTCTCTCTCAAAAATTAATAAAAAATTTAAAAAGATAGAATGGGAAAATAGGGGGACGGAGTCTAGATTGAACCGTGATCCACAGAAAAGAATTATTTGTTATCTGGCGAATGCTGCGTCCCCCAGGGGCAAAGACTTTGCATTTTGTTCACTGTGGTTCCCCCTCTGCCTAGGACAGTGCCTCGCACATTGGAATTGTGCAAATATTTACTCGGTGTATCAAAAAGAACAGGGATGGGAACCTGGAAGAGAGAGCCACATCATCTTAGCGCGACTGATAGCCAGGGAAGGGAACGCTGGCATTTGCAGACAGAAATTTGCGGTTTTATAAACAGAGAATCTAAAAAGCTCAGTGGAACAGTAAGTTTAGTTCCAGGGCCAAAGGGGAACACAATTTAGAGGGTCGGGGAATTATAAAGATGAAATGTCTGTGCTACAGTCACAAACCATCTCTGAGAGAAAAAGGGAGGCATCACAAACAATGACTCATACGTGTTTGAATGAAGGGTGGATAACAAATCACTTTGAGGACGTGATGAAACTATAGCCCATTTCTCCCAGGGGAAAAAAAAAATGCACGTCAATACAAAATTTTGTGCATAATCTGGGGAGGGGTTGGAGACTTCGTGTTACGGAGACCTAACATAAAGGGACCAATGAAGGTCCGGAGAATGCTTCTGAGGGTTTCCTGCTCGGAAGGGATCGGGGACACCTCAGAGGACGGAAGGCATTATAACGAGGAGGGGTGCCAGGGGTCACCACACCCTGCAAGAACTATGTCTGAAAGTCCAAGCCTGGAATAAACATGTTTTTAAAAACCCAGACAGCAAAAAGGCACTTGGGGTATTTCTGTAGTTATTGCTGCAAGGATTCAGGAATCAGACCCACCTGGTTTGAATCTCAGCTTTGTGATAGCGGACAAGCTCTTTAACCTCACCAAGCCTCGGTTTCCTTACCTGTAAAACGGGAGTGATATCTAATCCGGAAGGGTTATTGTAAATAATATGCTTGATAATGCCTGTCAAGTGCTTGGCTTAGTGCTTGGCACATTTGGTCTAATACATATTCATCATCATTATTATTATCATTATTCTCTGCTTGTAATGCCCTTGTCTCCTGTTCTATCAAACCCTTCAATAAAGGTTAGCTTTTAGTGGTTTTTGTTATTTTTAAGTAATGCCTGAAGCAGGAAAATGAACATGATAAAGGACTGCTCCTTGGGGAAGATGATGTAATATTAACTTTGTTCAAAAGAAATAGCTAACAAAAGGGAGTCCGGGTAGCACTGAAGGGCAGGCGAGAAATACAGCACATGAGCCTGCGTGGAAAACCGTGCCCCCGGAAGAGACAGAGAAAAGTAGGGCCACCCGCCTCTTGTTTTGGGAACAATTTTCGATCTGACGTGTCAGGAAGAATATATCTATCATCCTTAAATGCGGTCAGGACTCTCAACCCAGATGTTTGATGTCCCGGGATTTAAGGAATTTGCAGATACGAGGCAGAAGCATTGCTTGTGATTGTTGAGAAACAACACAAAACAGAGGAGATGGGCAAAGACTGGAAACAGCTCGCTTTTCCAAAAACAAGAATCCAGAAGCTCTGGATTGAGCAGTCTAGGATCAAACTGATGAAACTCTAAACAGATAGAGTGGTAGATTGCTCGTTTGTGTGCACGTAGAAAATATATAGATACCCAGGAGCTAGCAGAGGGTCACTAAAAAGAAATCATCCAAAATTAACATGGTTTTTTACTAGGTATATTTTTCGAGGATATTAGAGGAATATGATTGGCATATGGTTGATTTCAGTAAAACATTTAATGAGGTCATTCCTTCTCACATTGTGGATAAGATGGAGAACTGTGGTCTGGGCACTGGTACAACGATGTGACTTCAGAAATGTCCCCTAGAATGCCAGTTGTGCCCCCCAAGTGCCCCCCAAGATTTCAGGAGAATCTCTTTAAAGGTGGTCTGTCCAATGGCTGTGTAAGTGACACAGAACTCATGCTCATAGATGCATAGACACCACCCAGCCAGGAAAGTTCAATTACCAGATGGTCACAGTGTCAGGATGCAAACAGGTCCCCAGCACCTGAAGTGATGGGCTTACTCCGAACAAAATGTAAGGCAGACATGCAAGTGATTTCTGTAGATAACCCACCCTCGAGGAGACAGAGCGTAACTTCCCACTCCCAAAGTGCAGACTGTACCTTGTGACTTCCTTCCAAGAAGGACAGTGTAGCGAGGGGCAGGGATGATCACTGTAACCTCATGGCAGAGAAACCTGACAAACACCACCTCAGCCAGGTGCTCAAGGTGGACATCAATAGGGACAAGTCATGTTGAGGGCATGATTGCATACCTCGGTATGATGTGATAACAGTGATGCTTTATCTCTGTGGTCCCCCTCCCCAAAACCTGTAACCCCCATCTTATTAGAGAAAAATATTAGGCAATTTCTAATTGAGGACGTTCTACAAAATGCCTGGCCAGCGCTCTTCAAAACTGTCAAGATCATCAAAAAGAAATGCTAGGACACTTTCACCCTCTAGAGGAGCCTGAGGAGATAATGACAACTAAGTATAAGGTGACGTCCTAGATGGAACCTTAGGTAAAAACTCAGGAAACCTGAATACAGTATGGTCTGTGCGTAATAATAATTGTGGGGAAATGTAGCACATTAACATGTAAGATGTTAGTAACAGAGGAGAAGGGGTGTGGAACTCTCTGCACTATATTCACAGTTTTTCTGTAAATCTAAAACTATTCTGAAATCAAAAATGCTTATTTTAAAAACGCAATGGATGTAAGTGTAAACTCCTGCTTTTAACATAAAAAACGACTTATAATGTAAGTGTATCTTGGGGAACATCCAGATTAAATACAGCTTATGAGAAAGGCATCCCAGGCTTTCTGTCGACCACATCTCAGTGTCTGGTGCTGGGCAGCACGGCTGTAAGAGGCCGCGAAGCCCACTGCTCCTCCAGCACTACCTCCAGACAGCTTGGCGGCTCTCTACTACTCAGACCACAGGAGGACTCTCAACTCTGCAGCCCAAGCTTCCTGGGTTCAAGCCCAGGCTCTACCCCATTCTAGCTGTAAGAACCTGGCCAACTCACTTAATCTCTCGGATCCTCAGTTTCCTCATTTGCAAAGCGGGCAAACAATGATGAATGCTTCATAGAGCCATTGGCGGAGCAAAGCCCCCCTGGCCCATGCCAACTGCTCAGGAGGTGCAATTCTGTGGGCAACAGAGGTCTGACTGGGGCAAGGCAGGATCTCTGCCTTATTTTTTGAGGGTAAACCTTCTTTCAGAAGGGTGTTCTGTATCTCAGAGAATAGCATTAGATGAGGGGAGCGATGGGGAACTCGTGATACTGACCTTGGAGAAACCACCAGACCAGAGGAGCTATTGCTTCAATGCAAAGTGAAAGCCAGCAAAGGGAAGTGACAGTCTTCGTGATTAATTTACTGAAACCCTAAGTACCTCCCTAAGCCTTTCTGGATCTGTGCTTCTTTATCCTCCACGTACAGATAAGGACACATTTTGGTCAATTTTGCAGGGTAACTGAGAGGATAAAATGTGTTAATAAATATGGAAGAGCACTGAATGAGAAGCAACTGTTGTTAGTAAGTACATGTTTTATGAAAACTACCTTAAATGTATATTTCTTGTGGTGCCGGCTCGGCTTACAGAGGTTGGGCAAGAGGCCAAGACTATGCTTTTTGAAATGCTTACTTTCCTAACTGCAAAGCCATCAGGGGCATGTCAAGAACACAGGCTTCTCTTCAGGGACGGAGTCTCGCGTTGCGAGCTCACGCAGAAGTGAGGGCTGCACTGGAGGCCATGCATAGGCTTTGGGAGCTGATCCAACTTCTGGGAAACTCATGTCCTCCCCTGGAGGATTGAGAGGATGGCGTCAACGTCACGTGGCTGCTGCGCAGTGGCGCGCATGCGTGGGCCAGCCCACCGTCGGCGCGTAGTAGTAGGTCGTGGTTGCTGTTGTAATTTGGCGCCACTGCAGGTCTGTGGCATTGGTGGGGTTCCGACACCCCCCATCACTCTGGCCTGTCAGGTGGAGGGGTCGCCATCCCTGGGGCTCCGGGGTCAGTACGGGAGAGCCCACTCCCGCGGAGACCAACCACAAGGCCCAGAGAAACATCGCAGAGAACAAGGTACAGGGTCTGCGTCAACGGGGTGCAGACTAAGAAGAAGAATCCATCCTGGATATTTCAAAACCACCTTTTATGGAGCTGTCAACAGTCAATGAGGTTCTGAGTAAAAATCAGAGCCCAGAAGGAACCAGATTACTGGGAAGGAGGGGAATTGGGTTGGTGAGAAAGGTGAGGGGGCCATTGCAAAACGCCCCGGCGGTGATTGTGGCATGGAAGGAACCATGGGGAGAAGACAAGCAGCCCGAACTGGCAGCGCCCAGTCCCGGAGGCAGCGCTGTGACGGGGACACAGCAGAGGGAGTACCGTGACTTTGTCCTTTGGGATTCACGGTCACTTGTCTCCTATCTCAGACGCCCAAGAGTCTCCCGTCCAGCATCCGCCCATGTAAATGTCAGCATCATTCAGGGCATGAAGCCACGCATTCTGCCCACATCTTACGCCAGAGATTTCTAAAGATGTTACCACATGCCTTTGGAGAAAAACAACAACAATTGTATTAACAATTTTTTACAGAGCCTGGAGGTACAATAGACGGTGACAGATGGATCTGGATTTACATAAAATGACACAGACGCTGATTTTCTGAATATTTTTGCTAAAATCAACAACAGCTAGAATGGATCACCCCCACCACCACCCAACCACTGCCAAACAGGAGAGCCAGCACTCTGTGAGTGCCTGGTTCACAAAGCTCAGGAGTTAAAGTCTCATTGGGTTTGGCTGACTCCCTCCCACAGCCCCCCCCCCAGCACTGTTTCCATCTCGGCAGGCTGCTTTGGATGAGCCTAGAATCCGAGAAACAGCTCTTAGCTTCCCCCTTAGATGGGCCAAGCACCCTCCCAGCCACCAGGGTCCAAGCTGCTGCCTGTCCCTCTGGGTCAACGCGACCCCACTGGTTGCAAATGAGTTGGCTTACCTGTACCCAGAACAGGGCCCCACATTTGAGGAAGGATATTGACAGACCGAAGCAGGTCTGAGGTTGGGCACCTGGATCATGTCCTGCTGGGGAAGCAGCCTGCTCCTTGTCTCAAATACCTGCACAGTTGTCATATAAAAGATGGGATAAACTTCCTCTGTGTATCCTCAGAAGGCAGAGTTAGAACCCAAGCTGGGGAGAGGCAGATTTTGGCTGGATCCTGATGAAGACTTTCTCCCCATTGGTGCCTCTGATAATCTGATTACATGGAGAAGTAATTCATTCTTCGTTATGGCAAGGGTTCAAAGACTGGATTATCACCTGTCAAGGTTGCTGTTGCGGGGTTCCACTTTGGATGAAAGATCGGTTGAGAAGATCTCTAAATTCCTTTCCAAGCTTCAGACGATGTGTTTGTGTGTTCTCAGTAAGTAGAGCAGAAACTGAGGATCATGGTTTAGCTGGAAAGAACTGAGATTGGTATGTAGAACTGAGATAAATTCCTCAAGTTAGTAAGTCTTGAGTTTTGGTTTTAAGCTCTTGTTTTGTTTTCCAAGCTCTTTTTAACAGAAGGAGCAGTAAATCTGAGTCTGAGCCACAGGACCAGATTTGGCTCCTATTTGAATGTTTAAAGACACCTGCTCTTTATAGGAAAGTTCTCTCCAAATTCCAGTGGACCAGTGGACATCAGTGACTACTTTCATTCCCTGGGCCTTATCCTCGCATCCAACTTTAAGGTGGTCACAGGAACAAGGAGAGAGCTGGATGAATATATCTAACCCCTTCCATGGGTCAAAGCCTTGATCTTGCCCCGTGTGAAATGGCAGAATAGATAAATGGAATTAGGCCCACCCAAGGGGCCATCTCAAATGACTTAGAGCCCTACTTCCCCCTTTATCAAAGAGGCATCCTTGCCTGTGGGTAACCAATCTTCCTCCTACTCTTAGCCTGTGAGCCCTGGGCCCTCGACCCATAACCTGGACAGTTCATTTCCCTCCTGTAATAAGCTCTGTTCAGGGCTACGTCTTCTTGGGTTTTCTTCAGCCTTTTTCAGCTTTTTAAATCAGATTAGTTTGTTCGTTTGTAAAGGTTTTCAGTCACTGCTGCCCACCTCCGTCTTCCCTGAAGGCCTACCTACACACCAATTATCAGCTGTACATCCAGAGAGATGCCCCTCTGAATTAAGAAATTGATAAAGAGGGGCTCCTCGGTGGCTCAGTCGGTTAAGTGTCCGACTTCAGCTCAGGTCATGATCTCACAGTCCATGAGTTCGAGCCCTGCATCAGGCTCTGTGCTGACAGTTCAGAGCCCGAGGCCTGCTTCCGATTCTGTGTCTCCCTCTCTCTCTGTACCTCCCCTGCTCATGCTCTGTCTCTCTCTGTCTCAAAAATAAATAAAAACGTAAAAAAAATTTTTTTAAAGAAATTGATAAAGAAAATGGTATCGAGAGGCTCTATTTTAGACGCCCTGGCCTTCGTGTATGGACAGCAGAAGGCACAGTGCTTGTGCCAGAAATCAGCACCGCCACCATTTGGACAGTGTTCCCCTTAATTTGTTCTCTTTTCTTCATCCAAAAAAATTCTGGCTGGCTTTCTGCTCTTACCTTGACCTGTCTGAATTTCTTATTTTGAGCATGATTTCTAAGGAACTGAGGACTTGTTACAGGCTTGAAGCATAATTTCAGGCAAGACGCCTCTCCTTCTTGGCCTCAGGCTCTTTGCCATTGAGCCGTTGATGCCCCTGTGGGCCACATTAGGAAGGGCCGCTCATTAAGGATCCATTGGATGGCGACAAAACAGTTGCAGAACTTCGAGCTGCTCGCAAGAAAGGGAAAGGTCTACACTAATCATCCCAGAGTCTAAAAGGCTTCCAGCATCTGTCAAGATTCAAGTGTAAACTAGGCGCCATAATTGGGCCCTAGTATCTCTAGCAAGTTTTCCTGACACCTCCACAGAGTAGTGGATGGATTAGAAGTGGTGTCAAACGGCGAGCCTGTTAATGTGCAAAGCAGAGAGGTGTCGAAACTGGCAAAAAGCAAAGCCTCCATTTCTTCTCAATCTCCATAAAAACGAGTGAATGTAGATGCTTGGCTGTCACCAAGAACCAGGGACCAAGGCCAGTTTGGCAACACTGCTGATGTGTGGTCCTACTGTTTTCCTGGCTCTCTCCCCTCTTGCCTCCCACCTGCCCCTGAAACTTTAATTACCTCCTGGACCCAGTGTGATGTCTGCTTGCTGGTGGTGAGCTGGAAGAGGGAGGAGAGATGGCTCCCCTTGACATACAAAAGCCCGTCAGCCTTCACAGCAGCCATGGGGAACAGAGTGGCTGTTTTTAGTTATAAAGACATCTTGGTGGGAAGATTTACCAAAGATGTATTTATACCATTAGAAGTACACCTCCCTTCGGCCTAGTTATCTCCAGTACCACATTTGTCATTCTGCCACTGCATTCCAGGGGGATTCGGGTGGGGTGGGGGTGGGGGCTCTATCTGAATTGAAGCTTGAGTTTTTAGATGGAGCAGTTACAGGTCTAAGTAAAAAGCAGGACCTGGGACGCCCTCCATAGCCACCTTTCTCGGTGCCGGTCCTAGAAATAGTTTTAGCTGTCCCACACTTGGGGAAGGGGGTGAGGTTGGGCACATCTTCAGAAAAGAGTTAAAGGATTCGGACACTGCAGAAATATAAAATTATAGAAGAGATAATGGGAGAATTGCATTAGTGTTTTTTAAAGTTAACTTGGATTGACAAAATCATCCTGGAAATTCTTCTGGAAGTTAGAAAGCCTCCAGAAAGAGAACCAAAAAAAAAAAAAGAGAGAGAGAGAGAATCAGCAGATCTGATCCATGTTGTCACTCAACATCCCAGGCTAGTGGCAGAGTTAAAAGCCCCTTTATGTCTCTGTGCTTTGCACATACACATACTTGGGACTGCATACACCTGCCTTTGAAAGACGCCTGTTGTTGGCTTCCTGATCATCAGCCAGGGAGGTCCAGGGCCAGTGCAAATGAAGGTGGGGCTTCCTGAGTCTGTGACTTCGGTCGCCCGGTTCAGTGGGGTTCTAGAAGTGAACTACCAGCCCCGCACACAGCCCTATGCTCTTGGTTCTGGTATATAAAGGAGAGAGATTCTAACCCCTGTGCTCCAGGAGATTACAGCCTTGCTGAAGAAAAAACTTCAAGGTAGTGCCACTTACCCAGCACTTCCCACCCCTGGCTGCAAGGGGTCTCCTAGAGAGAGTTGTTTTTTTTTTTTTAAATGTATATGCCTGGAGCCTGTGAATCAGAATCTCTGGCTGTGGGCTGGACCCAGAGAGCTTGTGTGTTTTAAATGTTCCCCCAGGTAATGCTCACAGAGCCTGCCCAGCACAGATCCATGGATCTACATTTGGGAGCACAGGGACTGGGACAGTTGGTGCCTTCCTGGAGGAGGTGAGACTGAAGAGAAAAATATAATCTCTTCCCTGAAGAGAAAAATATAATGGGCGGGCAGGCAAAGTTCAGGAGGAGCAAGAAGGAGGAAGTAAGAGTGAGGTGGGGCCTTCAGGGCAAGAGATTTGAGACTGCCCAAAGAGAGAAACTGGCGTCCATCCGTCCATCCGTTACTTTCCTTCTTCTCTGAGGACGAAAGAGGGAGTTAGCACAACCACCATTAAAGCAGAGTGAGTATCGCAAACCTTTGAGGCCAGCAGGGATGCTGCCTGAATCCATCCACCACAAATTTCTCTGATGTCCTATTTGATTATAAAATTCATGCAAACCATGCTTATTTTGATATAAAAAAGAACATTTTCCCACATCTTCTAGTTTAACAGACTGGTTTTCAACCTTTCTGGTCTCAGAAAAATCATCAAGGACCCCAAAGTGCTTTTATTTATGTGGGGTATATGCAGTATTAGAAATCAAAACTGGAATTTTTAGGGGCGCCTGGGGGGGCTCAGTCGGTTAAGCATCCAACTTTGGCTCAGGTCATGATCTCATAGTTCGTGGGTTTGAGCCCCACATGAGGCTCTGTGCTGACAGCTCAGGGCCTGGAGCTTGCTTCGGATTCTGTCTCCTTCTCTCTCTGCCCCTCCCCCACTCGCGCTCTGTGTCTCTCTCAAAAATAAGTAAATGTTAAAAAAAAAAAACTGGAATTTTTAAAGTATTTAACAGCGTGTGTCCATTAATTCATTTGAAAATAATAAATCCATTGGGTGTTAACATAAATTTTATGAAAAATAGCTATATTCTCCAAAATAAAACCAGCGGGAAGAGTGGCATTGTTTTACATTGTTGCAAGTCTCTTGGTGGGGGGGGGGGCGCGGTGGGGAGAGAGGTCTGACTTAACAGGAGGCAGGTGGATTCTCATACCTACATCTGCATTCAGTCTGTGGTTATGTGTGGTTTTAGCTGAGGCAGATGAAGAAACCCCAGACCCACATAGAAAGGCCAGGACCAAGGTGGGATCAGCAGAGCACCTAGGAAACACAGTCAAAGGAGGCACCTCTCTGAGGGTCGGCCCAATGCAGGGTCGGCCCTGAGAGCGAGGGAGGGACTTCTCAGCTTGTGTGCTCCGGGAGCCTGGCACACAGATACTAGTACTGAAATGGCCTTGTCAGGTAAGGGTGGGCATTCTTCTTTGACGCCACACCAAAACTCAGCAAGCATTGCGCACGTAGTTGCATTGTGGAATCTGAACCATACCGATGTACTTTTTATGT